ATTTACATTATATTATATAGATAGGTACTTGGGTATATTATAGTTTATCATTTTTAATTTCTGTGGAACATATTTTAATACAAGTTATTGTAAAACAAATACATATTAAAATAAAGTGGATTGTATTATCCTATAATAAATGAAAGGCTGTTCATAGTGTTCATACCATGGTGTTCGTACAATGTATATTTTCGTTTTGTAAATTAAATATTATTGTAGTGTGTTAAGACATATTATAATTGTGACTTCCAACGTCGATCGACTTTTATAGACGATTATATACGGCGGCGATGGCAGTTTTAATATCATACAAACCTTATACAATATAATATTGTATACACTGCAGTCGATTATTATTATTTTTAAAATCGCTTTCAAGTGGCTGAATTGGTGAGTTAGGCGTGGAATTTCGAGTGCTTTTTGTCCGTGTGAAAATTGTTGACTTTATTATGATAATATTATACTATATACTAAATACTAATAATATTATATTATTATGCAACCGCCATAATCACGTAGTAATATCACATAATGCAGCAGTATAGACGCAGTATAGCTGTCTATAATAATTACAATAAAGTTATTAGTTAATCGTTACTATATGTATACAAATTATTCCAACTATAAATTTTAATATTAGTTATAATAATCTTTAATCAGTAATCACTAAACAGCAGTATTAAACGAGAACTTGACTTACATTAAAATGTATAAAAGGGAGAGGGAATATAAAATAGTACAGGTACTTATACTATCTATTACCTATACGGCTACCTAGTACCTACACGTATAGCCGTATAGGTATATAGGTACAATAAATTATATGAACAATTTTGTTTTAAAAAGGGAGTCATAGAGTCACTTTTTTGGCTAAAAAAGATCTAGAAAGTAGCAATAATTTTTGGTTAACAAATTGTTCATTAAAATATCAATATTTATATTTTATAAAGCTATACAACTTTATAGAACATTCACAATATTTTTTGCTCCACATACATTTAAGAGATTTACTTCTCGACGATTAAGCTTATATTACGCTGCTTGAAGTATAATAGATTTGCAGCTTGTAAGTACATAAAGATACATATTAGACGCCTGTATAGAGTTACCTATTGTAAGTAAGTATATCGTATATGTAGCAGATGGACTGACATTATGTGACTATGTGGGAACTCAATTCAAGTCACAACAATAGGTATTTGCTTTAAAATGTATAGTTACTTGAGATTAAAATATATACAAATAATAATAATACAACGAGTCCCCATTTAATTACGGGTAATATATTAAATAATAATAATAAAGGCTTTCTGGAAAATATCCATTTCCAGATCATATTCACTTCATCGCGATAACTGAGGTTATAACATAACTTGTGAGTTGTGATATATAGAAATAAACCTATATAATATGAGTATTATAGCATATTACCTATAACCTATATATTTTATGCACCTTTGCAGTATATTATTATAGATTATCTGATCATAGTACCAGTGCCGCATTTAGACATTTTGTGCTGCGGTGCAAAAAAAATTTGGCGCCCCCGTATGAGGCCTAACCCCATATATGGGAAATATGGAGGATAAATTCTCATGAACCTTTTAGATTTTGAGCAAAGAAAAGAATATTGTTTTACAATAATGTGTTTTTTTTAAAAATATTGTTTAATATTTTCATGAACACTCCCCCCCCCCGCCCCCATAGATACAATTGAGTGTATTCCACTTGAGTCCTGCTTATAATTTACATCATATGTTTTTTTAGATTCTGAGCGGAGCGATGAATGTATTGGTTTTACAATGATGTGTGTTTTTTTTTATATTTTTTTTTGTGTCTGTCATCACGTTTTGGGACAGTAAAAGTGCTTCGATTTTCTTCAATAGTACCTTTTCTGATAGGAAAGTGAATCTAGTTGGTACTTTGGGGGGTCAAAAGTAAACATTTTCCAGTAGTTTTCACAAGCGCCGGGAAAAACAACATAACAATTAAGGAAAAACGGGAATTTTTAAGCAAAATCGATTTTCCAAAAATCGAATTTGGTTTTTGGTGTAACTTTAAAACAAATGACCGTAGATACATGAAATTTTCACTGGTTGTTTATATTTGCATTTTCTATACACGATAACATTTTCAAAATATTTTGGTTTATTTTGAACTGTTTAGGGACATTTTCATTTTCCATTTTTTTTTAGTTTTTTTTCTAAAAATATCAATAAAATTTTATTTGTTGGTTGCGAAAGCTTGAAAATTTAATAGAAGGCTCCTAATATGTTGCTTCAAAGGCAGATGAAAAATATTAAAAATCCTTAGACACAATTTTTTTTTATAAGCATTTAAAGTTTAAAAATTGACAAAATATGGAAAAATCACGAAAATTAGCAAATTATTTTGAGTTAAGAATTCGTAAAAATTTTTCTTTTTAAATCTAAGATTTGAAAATGAAACACAAGATTCCTTATAAGATTATCTACCTTTATCAATAAAAAAATCTCTACCGGACAGTCAAATTAAATTTTTATGAGCCTTTGAAATTCAAATTTTTACAACATTGGATTTTCACTCGATTACTCATGTAGCGATTTCCTTATTTTGTTGCAATTCAAAAACGAACAACTGTAGATACATGAAAATTTCACTGAATGTTTAAATTAGCATTTTCTATACACCATACAATTTTGAAAATATTTTGACTCTTTTTGAGCTGTTTATGGACATTTACAGCTTTCAATTTTTTTTAGGTTTTTTTTTTCTATAAATATCAATAAAGTTTTATCTGTTGGACCAAAAAGTGTAAAAATTTAATACAAGGCTCCTGATATATTGTTACAATAGCAGTTGAAAAATATTAAAAACACAAAGGCACAGTTTTTTTTTTATAAGCATTTAAAGATCAAATTTTGACAAAATTTATCAAAATCTCGAAAATTATCAATCATTGTAATTAATAAATTATAAAATGTTCAGTTTTTATAGCTAAGGATTACAAATTCAACACAAAGGTTCTCATAAATAGTTCATACTATAACCAAAAAATCTAAAAAATATATGAACACACTTATTTTTTACAGACATTTTAAATTCAAATTTGGACGAAATTACATATTAAAAAACCTAGAATAACTATTTTAGTTATTTTGTTGTGATTGAATAATATTATTCGTGGGTACTTGAAACTTCTAAAGTGTACTATTATAATATATCTATGATAGTATCACGGTTTTTGTTGATGTATAACGCGTTATAAGTATCTAATGGATATTGTGATACCTATTATAGGTACATTTTTTGTTTAATACCATAAATATGTATATAATATGTCTTATACCTAGAAGGACATACCGTCTCCGCTCAGAATCGTTTTTCTTATACAATGATATTATATCATTGAATTCAAATTTAATACCATCCATTATACAGTGACCCACTTGTAACCTACTGTACAGCAGAGCGACACCCACTTGCCCACCTTTTTTTTTTACATATTTAGGTATTTACTTCATGGATCATATTAATATAAACTATGTGCAAACTTATGGTTTATTTTTTTAACAATAAGTACAAATATTAATAAGAACAATATAAAAATATAATAAAATATTTGTTTAGGTACCTACATTTTTCTTCTACTTTGTAGTGTAGCAAATTCATTGATAATATCATCAAAATCAATTTTAGCTGTTACATCAAATTCTATATTCATAATAGCTAAATCATTGAGTCTCTCTGCTGAGATACAAGACCTCAGATATGTTTTGACACGTTTTAAACATGAGAATGACCGTTCGGTCGAGCAATTACTTACAGGAGTACATAATAGCATTCTGAGAGATACATCTATATAAGGGTACATTCCTATTAAATCATTTTTTCTCAAAACACCACACATATCCTGGATAGTCTTAGGAGCCTCGTCACCGATACTTAATAAGTGGCTCCTAAAATGAACACATTCATTAGCAAATAAAGTACTGAGATCATCTTTATATTCATTTTGTAGTATTTCAGCATTCTTTCGGACTTTAATTGATGTCATCTCTGTTAATTTGAAAAAGAAATTGTAATTTTTAAGTAGATTTTCATATTTTTCATTTCTTTTTTCTAGTTGTGACCGCAGTTGATCAAGTATAACAAAATAAGTTTTCACTTTAAAATCAGAGTATTCAACTGTTGTTTCTTTAGATGGCCCTTCATCAAAAAATTGTTTTCTTATTTTTAATCGTTTGGTACAGGATTGAAACTGCTTAATTTTACTTTTTTCAATTGCACATTGTTTAAAATACTCATAGTTTTTATCAGAGCGTAAATCAATGATATATGTTATTAATGATTTATACAATTCACACACTACACCCAAATCGATATTGACAGCTTGTAATTTCTTGCTCGTTAAGTTGAATCGGTGTAATATTTGACCCCAGAATATAGATAGGAATGCAGTTTCTAAATTATTTAACTTGTTGAGAATTCCACTAGCTTCATTTCGAGTAAGTGTTTTCTCAGTATCATCATTATTTATTAAATTTAATGCATTAAGAGGACGCTATACCCGCATGCGTGTTGTCTCCGTCTTACACACGTACGACATAGACAAAACGCGTTTAGGCAGTCTGAGTATAACTCGCTCAATTTTGGTTCTAGAGTAAAAATACCTATTATGAAATTGAATTGTGATAATATTTCTAAGGGCAAGACGCTGCGGTTTTTTTAAAAAATTTAATTTTTTAAAAGTCAAAGGTATTTTAAAAATGGTGAAATTTTTTCTATTTCTAAACGATATAATGAACGTTATATTGGGTATAATGGAAAAACCGCAGCGTCTTGCCCTTAGAAATATTATCACAATTCAATTTCATAATAGGCATTTTTACTCTAGAACCAAAATTGAGCAAGTTATACTCAGACTGCCTAAACGCGTTTTGTCTATGTCGTACGTGTGTAAGACGGAGACAACACATGCGGGTGTAGCGTCCTCTTAATAATTAAAGACCAGTTTTTGTTCAGAGATTGGCAAGCGTCATCTCTAGCAGACCATCTTGTTTCTGAAAGTCCCTTACAGAAGCGTTTAGAGCTTTCCAGCGGTGAGTAGAAGCTGTGAAAAACGTGTAAACATTTTGAAGTAAATTGAAGAATAAAACGGCTTGAGTACAACAATCAACTGCATTAGTTCCAACCAGGTTAAGGGAATGCGCAGAGCATGGTACAAATTTTGTTAAGGGATTGGCTTCTTTTATTTTTGCTTGCAGTCCGGCGTAATACATTAGTTGTTTTAATTTCAAACAGCATAATACATTAATATTATATAATACCTACTGTTGTCTGTTATTAAAATAATTTACATTTTAAAAGTTCATTTTTCATTTTATTTTTATTAATTTTTTTATTTCCGACCACAAAATTTCGGCGCCCCCAAAATACTGGCGCCCCGGGCAGTTGTAGCCAGTGCCCCCCCCTAAATGTGGCACTGCATAGTACCATTGATTATTATCAATAATAATCAATGACAGTAAGTATCAATGTATTGCGGCGATTGTGATTTCTTATCCTAGTACGATGTGTAATTATTAAATACTAAGCTATTTATGTATTAGGTAATTATATTATATATCCATATAATTTTATATTTATTTCTACTCCGTCTAGGTACTTATATTTTTACTTTTTTTTAAATAAGTATTTTATTCATATTTAATATGACTTAAATATTTATGAATTAATGTGTAAGTTATGTAACGTATCTTTATATGTATAAATTATAAATACAACTTAAATTAATGTATTATAATGTTAACATATTCTGTATCGTATTGTAAATGAGTACATGATGACATTATATGACATTATATGACATAAATAAATAATAAGATTAATTTTGTGTGGTAAAAGATTTTATTCAGAAAGTGAACTAATGTACTCAAATGTATTTTATTTCACGAAGTGTGAAAAAGACGTTTCCATTTCATTATTCGATAGATTTCACGAAGTGACTACGACATATAATTACCATGGTAGATTTATAGATAGGTATATAGTATATACTATATATTATATATTTAAATTTTAATATGTTATGTTGTATATTAAATAATATTGGTATAGGTTGTTTATTAATAAGTTTTTTATTTTTTCAGTGTCTATATACCCACTCGATGACTCGTATTTGTGTATATTAACTTGTATTAAGTAAACAACAAATTATTAAAGTCCGATGGAGTGGCACTGTGGCAGACGTCGTTGCAGGTGTCGAACGTCACGCGACCGCGTAACCATTGGAACACTTAAAACAAAAAATTGAGATTATTGGAGTAGGTACACGCAGTCAAACACCCGCGCATGCGTTTAAACGGGGTCAGAACGCGCAAAAACGGCACACGGTCGAATCGGAATCAGCACGAGGCCGGAGCGGCGTATTCAATACGCGATGTGTACAATTGAGAGTAGAGCACCAGGTCGCGAAAACGACCGTTTCGCGGTCAATGCCATCAATACGCGCGAAATATATGATATTCACTGCGTGGGTGGTCATGTAAATACGGGAGAGGGGAGGGGAATTTCGTCTTATAACTTTTTTTTTTACATTTGTATAATATATATTTATTTTTATTTATTTATTTCAGCAAAATCAATATCATTATTTCAATACAATAATACAATAGTCAAATTACAAAAGCTAAATTACTACAATAATAGTGATAACTGATAAGAGCTGATACGTATACCAACTGAGCAAGCTCGTTTCTGGTATACCTTACACTATATATTCCTACCTATAATACTAATACCTAACCTAACCTAACCTAATACTTAAGATTCTTTAAAAATATCATCCTACCCACTATATCGGTTATGCATTATACGTGCCTATATTATAATATACCTACTATGATTGATGTTTTATATTTTTAGATTTTGAGCTGACCAATGATGATGAGGTATACCTACTTTCGTTTGTTTTTAAATTATTTCTTTTAAGACACTAAATTAAAGTAGAAATAATTTTTTGATCTTCGACTTTGAAGATTGTTTCTGATAGAAAACTGGGTCTAATTAGTGATTTTGGAGGGGAGGGTCAGAATTAATAATTATCTAGTGCTTATCAAAATAATTATTCTAGGGAATATGAAAGGACATGTGTATACGGGTAGAAAACTTCGGAACTTTAAAGTTTATAAGGGATAAAATAGTAAGAGAGTCAATATATTGTCAATATATATCATTAGATAACAGACCTCTTAGGAAAGTTTTACCTAACATCCATCTACGGTCAGCTAGAGATTTAAGGTGAAGAATCTTTGAGACTGGAGTGTAATATGGTGGGGAACACTGAATGGCTAAAATGAAACTTGCATACTTTAAAAACGTACGTTATAGACTCTTATAGATAAATAAATAAATAAATATATAATACATTATAAATATTTTGATGAATCTAATCAAGTGGATAGTTTTATAATTCATGTAATTTCAGTTTCTGAGTTTTTTTTTATAAATTTCCTCAATAAGTCCTATATATCTTTTAGATGCTTGAAATTCAATATAACATTTACATAGTCAGATATTTAGTCATCATCTCTAATAGGTAATTTTTTCTCAATGCAGGGGGTTTCATTTAAGCTACCCAACTAAAAACTAAAATTAACAATATATCGTCAATAATTTTTGAAGGAATTTCCGCCAGTGCCGTTTTAACTGATTTTTTCTTAGAATCGTTTTTTAAATAAATGTACCCTGCGCTATAAGGTTATCAAACAAGTGCCAAACATATATTCCGACTATACATTTTTGTTTTAATATTCATTTTTATAGTATTTTTTATAGAAACGAATAAAATTTAAAAAAATTACCTAATTCCTACTAGATATATTATATAAAATTAATGGTTATTAACACATATTTATGATTCATAAATTTTCTTTCGCTGGCTCAGAATCGTTTTTTATTGAATGCAATACACTATACTCGTCCAAAATTCGATTTTTATGCTTCGAAATACTCCAAAAAATATTCGGTTTTGGAATGATAGGATTTAAAAATACATGTTGTCATTAAAAAAGTAAATCATTATAACGATAAAAAAATACTTTTTAGAAAATATGGTTTTTAACGCTTTAGAATTATGTAAAAAAAATATTTTGGAAAACGTTTTTGATATAATGAGTATCTGGAGTTAAATGGACCACCCGGTATATAGGCGTATTATAGGACTATAATAGTAACGTAGTTTCGAATCGATAATCCTAGTATAATATCATCATATATCTGGAAATATAATACATAATAATATTACAATGGATACATATTTTATACAATCTAAAAGTGTAAGTAACGCCTAAACTAGTTATTATTGAAAACCGGCGAGATAAATCACTGCTATAAAAAGACAGCTTTCTACTCAAACATGCAGTTATTTATTAGACAATCACAATCGAGAATTGCGTAACGAAAATGCTACAGCAGTTGCGACTGAAAAAGCTATATATATATTTAATAGCCTTAATATATTACATACGGTATCACTCATATATATTTATAAAATATATTGTATATTGTATATAATACAATAGGAAATATGAAATGAAATACGAATATTTAAAACTTTAAAAAAATATTTAAATTCATTTAACTATACGTAAATTATATAATAAATTTAATAGGTTTTGATTTTTCAAATTTCTAAATGTAAATAATTATCAATTATTATTAATTCGGATTATTCCATATTATTTTTACATTTTATACAAATTATAGTTAAGTTTATCCAAGCAAATTGCAATGAATACGATAAGGAGCCTCAATTAAAATAATCATTTACAAATTACATTACAAGTAGAATATTTAATTAAAACTCGAATTAAAATAGGTACAGTGCTGCTTAAAATAAAATGCGTACGTAAGTGCGCATATGCTACTCCAGGATATCCGAACTTCCAGGGCTCTCAGTACTTACCAAAGAAGCCATTGTGGATCCGTGGTAAGTAGTAACCTTGCAGGTTACCAAAAAGTTAGACCGTCTTCGCTTAGAACCGTTTTTCATAGTGTATTATTGTACAATTATTTGCCATTGAATTCAAATTTAACACATCCACTACAATTTAGAGTAGGTATACCTACACTCAATGACGAGCTACACTCGACTATACTATACTGCGTATACAATAATATACATAGCAGGGCGATCACCTACTTTCTTAAGTTTTACATTTTTTATGTTCTAGGTATTTGTAAATTGCATTTTCTCAATATAGAGTAAAATGTTGTATTATTTTTACTAGGGAAGTATTATATCACCTAATACAGTAATACATATATATATATATTATACCGACATGTTCAGCCAATAGGTAGGTAGGTACATATACTTATTAAATTTCCCTGTATATAGCTTAAAGCAGGCAACTTTTACACATTTTTATCAATAAGCTCGAATTCGATTTCTAATGCAACGAAATCACTATATATAGCTTTCGAATTTAAAATTACGATCAAGCCGTATCCTGTCCGTAACTACTTTTATTATTATCTATGTTATTGCGTTTTCTACATTATGATACCACGAGCGTGTGTGCTCGTCGGCCGCGTAACAGTTCAAAAGGACCGACAGGCGACTGAGTATACTAGTATACACACACACACACACACACACACACACAAACAGTAATTTCGTGTTCACTATTCGTATGTATATGCGTGTGTTCGTTTAATATATATAAATAGTAAATATACGATAATTATGATTTGGCGCGCACGTGGGGCTACGCGTGTTGTTACTTGTTATTATTAATAATAAAACAATAAAAAAATTTCAAACGCCGACGGACGGACGTGCAAGCCGCGCGTGGCGTAAACAGGAACTTTGGTTTATAATAATAATAAAAAATATACGATCACCGCGCGCATGGTTAAACAGAGGTAAATACAATATAACAACATATTATCGAGTTGTGCGTTCGTGCTCACTATATTAATCAAGGCTGAACAAGTTAATGATTTTTTTTTAACACAGTTAAGTTAAGTTAATATGCAACAATGACAATGACATTATAATATATAGTATCTATACCTATCTATATAGTATTCAGTATTTGACAATTACTCATTAAATTCCAATGTATTTTGTATTTTAACTAAATATTTTTAAGGCAATTTTCGAAAGTATTTCACCAATTCCTGACTTACACTCTTTTGTTATTGTTTATGTTGTACAATGCACGAGCGTATATAAAAACATCTATCGATATTTCTTGAAAACAATTTCACATAC